CCACTTAGACGTCGGATCTACACTCCTCTCTCACAAGCTGAGCCTGCCGAGGAGAAGGAAGCCAGAAGGCAGGGGCTTTACAGTTAAGCGGGTTCTCAGATGTGTGGAGCAAGCCCCCCAAAAGCCAACGTGTACCCTCCACAGCCCGGAGCATCGGCCACTTTTTTCCTGGGGTGCGCCTTTTGCTCGAGTTTCCCAGCTGCCTTCTCGCTGAAGGTGTCTGCCCCCCAGGCTGCCAGCCCACCACTGCCTCAGCACTCTGGGGTTGTGGATCTCAGCCTCAGTGGGTGGAGCAGATAGAATCCACATGATAATCTGGGTTTTCCTCCAAGGGCCCGGCAGGGACTCCAACACGATATATTCAAATGTGCTACCACGTCACTACTTGGGCCTGCACTTGGACAGGATGTTGTTAACTAAGAAACAATTAGTCCATCTTTCATGCAGGGCTCTTGATGGGGCTCATTCAGTTCTACCAAGAAAGTGGACTTCTACACCACAGGCTTTCTAGTGCTAATACTGGTATTAAAAAGGAAGAGGAGGACACAGAGAAGCAAACGAGAGAGATCAACTTTCCTAGCTGATGGGCCTTTTCACAAGTTTAAAGTAAATCTGCCACAGAATGGGCACCTTTTTCTGGAGATCACTTTTATTCCCTTGTCCTCAGATTTATTGCTTGCAACACATAACACCTATCGTAAAACTCTCCTTTCCAGTAGGCTGTAATTTGAATTGCAAAAACAAGCCTACCCAAGATCCTACCATAGAGTAAAAAGTAAATATGATAGAATTACAAAGCAATTTATTTGCATACAGATGCCTGATGCCTCAAACCAAAATTTCATCCCAGAATCTGGTGATGGTACTGTGCGATGCTCCATCATCCCATCTGACTTTTAGTTTTACAGAGAAGCAGAGGTCAGGACACACTCAAAAGCCAGAGGAGGAAAAACTCCAGGCCTGGAAGCACCTCTCAAAGCAACTCGGTATCAATTCTCTCCGTTAACGTTACCGCATTGTGTTTTTTAGAAAATGATACCTAGGCAAAGGTATTTTTCCAAAGGATTTACATTTTTCTGTCATTGTAGAAGTGCTCTTTTCATGAATTAAGACCTGCCTTTTTTTTTTTGCCCCATTTCCCACCTGCCTTAGGAGTTTGCCGATTTGCTACACATTGCAATGTGCACTTATTTCATTAGTGTTTCCCTTTTCCTCCTCATCCTGCCTCCGTTTTACCTGGTATTTAAATGCTGATCATGGGCTCTACCCGCCTTGCCCCGGGTGTGTTCAGTACCTCCCTAGCCTTTCCATCCTCATCTCTTTTACTCACGTCTTTACCTCTTCAACTTCCTCCAGGGACTTCAACAGTCACCTTTAACTTCATCTTCTCCTCGCTGACCCCTCATGCAACGGCCTCATACCAGACTGGCCTATTTCACTGGCGTCTTAACACTGCCCAGCCCAGATTTCCACTTGACACGGTGGACACTTCAGCAGAATGGTGTCCTGACAGTTCATCTTCCAGGTTTCTTTGGGAACTACCATTACGTTTTACCTACTCTCGTCCCGCTGATTGAATGAACAGAGCTTGAGAGGCCAGTGGCTCCCAAGTCACCTGGTGACACTGAACTAGAGTAAGATGACTATGGCCACGTCCCTCAACTTCGGTCAGCTTCTATCTCCGTGGTGGAGAGTGACAATCACACCTACAGTGTTGGTACTGCTGTACTAGTGAGGATCTCTCGGGCTGTAAGAAAACCATCATCTACTTCACGCCCTGAATGTACAAGTGAAAGGTGGCTCAAATGGCACCTCATGTAGCTCAGGTCTGGGGTCTTTGTACCAGGGCCTTGGCATTATCTTGCAGATGAGAAATGTTATGCAGCTGAAGGCATCTGGATGGGTCACTTATTTAGTTACCTTTTATCTTGCAACATCCAGACTTGACAATCTTGGGCTCACCTATTGATCCTTGGACCCATCACCTGGAATCAGGTAGCACATTTGGGTTAATTCATTATAAAGAAGCAACTCACCAGAGAAACTTCATCCTGCAGGCACTGCCAGGTGCCCCTGCCACCAGGAGGGGCTGTGGGCGTGGCACCTGAAGGGGGATTCTTGCGACTCCAGCTCTCGTACCTCCCGAGAAAGTAATTCTGTGGTTAAATGAACTCAGACCCGGGGCACATTGTAGCTTCCTGGTCAGAAACTGACAACGCAGCTACTCCTTCCAAGGTCCTGGAGAGCCCTGCAATGAATTCTGTTTCCCTTCGGGCAACATTTCCTAAACAACTCAACAGCCTGTTGACACCCAGGGTGCGGAAGCTTTGGCAGGGGCTGATTTAGACCTCATCAACTGCCCACTCCACGAGCTTCGTGAGTCTCCGAAACCAGTAGTTGCCGATCACTCTAAACCAGAGCCACCTGGGGACAGCGGACAAACTATGACTGACTGTACGACCAGACATTCTGAAGTATTTGCTCTGGAGAGCACAGTTAAATACTCCCCAGATGCAAGACCTTCAGATAATGATAACAATAATAATAATTCTCTACGTCATAGTCTAACAGTAGCATTTCCTAAACACGGTGCGACATGCCAGACCATAACCGAGTGAGAAGTTTTTCCTGCACCCTTCAGTCAACCTGCTTGGCGCATATCGACACCAGTGCGTAAATAAGAAAACTGGCCCACGGTCGTGCAGCTGCTATGCTGCAAAACAGGACTCAGAGTCTTGGGGAGTCTACACTCGTGTTTTTCTACCTTCCTCTTGATCAAATTCTGTGATTGGAAGCTGTAGAGAAGAAATGACACAGAACACTTCCAGAACTGCCCTGGGTCACTCTCCTAGCATCCGTTCTCACACTTGCTTGCCTGGCCGCCTCCTTTAATTCACGTCTCGTCCTCCGGCCTCAGCTGAGCTCCCGTGCTTGGTTCGGTTCTGCTCAAACACAACAGTAATAGCAGTCACACCCGTGATAACTGGTGACGAAACGACACAACGGGGAAACGGGCTCCTGGGGGGAATGGAAGAATTGACGTGCTCTTGGTGGACTCTGAACAGGGCTTGTGTCCCACCCGCAGCTCCTGTCGTTAGATGATCAGGAGATAATGGACCGCATTCTGGTACTGGCTGTGCTGTGTGTCTATGCTTAAACCTAAAAAGTGCCCAGATAATTTGCCTACATTCTTTCAAATCAGAAATGAAAAAACAAAACAAAACAAAACAAAAACAAATAAAAGCCGATCATATGCAGAAGCCAAGTCTTAGGGTCAGCAGCACTCAGGTGCCCGGGATCTAAGATGAGTCTTACAAAGGGCTGCAGATCCGACCATTAGGAAGGGCTTTACCGCCACCTTGTGGTCACAAGCATGCAAACCGCAAACCCAGCAAACCGCTCTGATTGCTTTTTGGACGAGTTGAAAGGTCCCCAATTCCACACCCCTCTGAGGTCCTACCTGCTATAGCCGTGCAGCTCGCTTCCTTGCTGCCCAAGCCGGGGCCCTTGCTTTCTCCCCGGCGCCAGATCCTGAGGAGACTCCCTCAATGAATCACCTACGTGCACATATTCGTCCCAGAGGCTGCCTTTCCGACATGACCTACAACGCTTTACAGAATATTCCCACCACCCGCCTAGAGTTACCCTGCTCAAAGCTGAGTCAGGTCCTGACTCCCTTGTCCACATCTCTTCAATGGCTCTCATCATCTGCTGCCCCATCCATTATTTCTTTTAACCTCACCTGCTCTCCCTTCATCACAGCACCTGAGTAGGCTTCCTTACTGTCTCTCAGAAACATCAGCCACGTTACTGCCTCAGGGCCTTTACACATGCTCTTCTCTCTTCCTCAACTGCTCTTCACCCAATTAGCTGTCTTCACCTTCCTCCCATTTGATTTAAACGTCACGTCTTCAACAAGGACTTAGCTGATCCCATACGTAAGTGTGCAGGTCCCACCCCAGACTCCACGTCCCTTTCCGGCTTTACTCTTCTCTACAGTACCTACCCCAATCCAGCATACCAGTTACAGGTGTCCTTGAGTGTCTATCCCCTCCACAAGGACAAGGGCCTCACTTCTGTATCCCCAGATCCTAGCGTGTGTCTGGTACACAGAAGTGGTTTAATCAGCAGGTACTGAATGAGCAAGGAAAGGAGCGACCCAAAGGGCACGGGAGGGCCTCAGCGGTCCCTTACAAAGCATTCGTGTTTGTCCTTGAACCCCGATTCTTACATCATCTTGGTAAAGGCTTCTGAGATGCAGCATTTGTGAAAGCACCAGATAAAACACTAGTAAATAACTGTGTTATTCATCGAACTGAATTCTTAACCAGTAACTTCATTTTTATAATCTACAGGCTGGGGAGTGGGGGGCAAGCATAGTATATAACATTCGGGCACAGAAAACTCTGAAAATGGCTCGGACATTTAAATGAAGTATAAAAAGATTTATTCCAAAGCCATATATAAAATATATAAATAACAAAATGCATCCCATTTAAAGACAATAAAAAGAGCAGTCCTTACATTTTATATGTTATAACAATTCAAGGATCTTCTCACAACTAACCAAAAAAGTCCAATAAAAGTTAATTGCATAATGTGTCAGATGGGCTTTCTCATTTATATAAAACGAAGCCTCTTTAAATTCAAACTGTTTGAAAATAATTTTATTATTAATATTGTTCTCAGTTTCTGACTTCTCCATAGTCTATGGAATCACATTTCTATGTGCTTCTTAAAGTGAGGTAAGAAGATAAATATTTAAACTGTTTTTCCAGGCAAAATTTTCAGATGTTCATGCACCAATGACTTAAGGTGCAACGTGGCCTTTACAATTCTTTTCCTGTGAAGTATTTCCCAGTGGTTACTTAGTATTCTGCACAAAGAACAGTAGCAATGCCTGTCATTTAAAAATTCATAATGTTGGGCCGGGGATTTAGCTCAGTGGTGCCACCGCCTGCCTTGCAAATGCAAGGATCCTAGTTCAATCCCCAGTTCAAAAAAAAAAAAAAAAAATTTCATAATGTTATAATTCTTTTTATACAGTTTTAAGATCCAAATCAAAGCTTTTCCTAGAGTGATTCACTATTTTCCTTTCAGATATTTTAATAAATATTACTTTACTCTACAACTCTACCATAATTCTTTAAAGCAAGGATCAGCAAACCTGTAAAGATCCAGATATAAATATTTTGTGTCGTAAGTCATTTCTGTTACATACTCTTCTTGGTTTTACAATTCTAAAATTAAAGATTCTTTACTTTTGCTATAATTTGCTAATCACCACTTTAAAAATAGAACTAGTCATTAAATTAGGTGACTCAAGTGTTAGTAAAATGTAAACTTCCCAGTGGGCACTATAATCCATGGTTTCTAATTTGTAAATTCAAAGTTCATTAACAGTAAGAAATGAATTGCATTCAAAAAGCAGGAATATAATTCATATATTATTTTTAAACAATGGCACTTATGGCTTTTCATTTTGACTGGATAATTCATATGTCTACTTTTTTCTTTTCATACCTGGGATTGAATTCAGGATCATGTGAGGCAGAAGGTGGAAACACTGGGCTAAGACCCCAGCCCATATGTCTACTTATTTTACAGCCCTAACTTTTTTCAAGGGAAAAATTTTTTTCATGTGGCTACTTTGAAGTTTGTACAAAGCCTGAGGTACTTCCGTGCTAACAGAGGTAGATACTTACACAAAGGAAGCCACTCTTTCATATATAAATTAGACACAAATATACTCCATAGCTGAGAAGGAGAAAGTGGAAACCAGCTACAAAGTACACAACGGATTACCGCAGAATGTCCCCATTGGTTTTATCACTTGTGGTTGTATTTTGGTAAAACATGATTTGAATACAAAAAGTAAATATAAATTAATACAGCAGCATATATATAGCCTGGAGCTGACTAAACACTGATCTATAACATGGTCTTATAACTTAGTACTGAGAATCACACTGGGTATTCCTCTGCGTGCATGAGTGTGTGGGTGTGTGTGTGTGTGTGTGTGTGTGTGTGTGTGTGGTGCATGTTTTCTTTCCTCCCATAATCGCTGGTAGGAACAGATTATGACCAATAAAAGAGCAGTTTGGATTTACCTAAATATATCATAAACAAGTCAGAACGCTCCAGAATTACAATCAGATGATATTTTACAAAACTGCTTAAAAATTCTAAAGTGGAGAAAATTGAAAACTTTGGTATTCCCAAGAAGAAAGCTCAAATATACCAGGGAGCCTCTCTGCCCAATTTTAACTATAAAAACTAAATTTTTCAGTGCAAAAATATTACGGCCATTGAGAAACAGCAATAACACAACCACCATAGAAAACATGTAAAGACTATATGATACAGAACACCCTGAAGGTGTGTTTTGGTGTAGAAAGGTCATTTGGAGCTAGGGAATTGCAGGATGTTTGAGTGTGGGAAGTGTGAGTCCACATGTGAGAGTCTGAGGGCTTTTTCTTGCAAGCACACTCGACGTGTTTACAGCTCATCGTGTTGCTTCTGGAACGGCCACTTTGGGTGCTGCAAGATGTGATCCGCAGCCTCAAGGACGAGGTACATGAATTCTTCCACATCAAAAGAGTAGTTGGTGAACTTTGGGTGCTCCCCCAGAGTCGGGTGGTGGCCCTGCAAAAGCAACCCAAAACACAGATCCTTAGGTCACCTTTGGGCATGGTCTTCCCTACAGGAAGGACATCATTTTACTCGGGTAAGGCAATTGCTAGAGGTTGGCAAAGGCCTTCTAGAAAGGACTAGATAATAGTTTCAGCTCTGTCAACCCTAGGTTCTCAGTCCCAGTCACTCAGCTCTGCTACTGAAGTTCACAAGCAGTCATAGACAGTACACATACACAAGTGTGAATGTTCCAATAAAACTTTATTGACAAAAACAGATGGTGGGCCGGATTTGTACCTCAGGGCCGCAGTTTGTGATTCCTGCTATATCTAATCTGTTAGATCTTTTTATGCCCAAATTTCACAAAGCTGTCTTAAAAACATCAAAATTTTCTCTAATTTGCAAATATGAAATACAGTGGCCCACTTTTTTACGGTAGAAGAGTACCTTTAGACGGGAGCTCAATGATCACGTTTAATTTTCACAGTTGGGCACATTACACCACTTAAAGGTTTAACAAAGTAAGCTTTGTGATTGAACTTTACCTTGTCTTGAGGAAAGACTTTGTTCTGCCTTCGCCAAGTGATATAGTGAATGCCTCTCAGCCTGGCCAAGTCTAAGTAACAGCGCTCATCTTCACAGTTGTATCTAAAGACAAAGGGTGTAAAACGTGAGGTTTCTGTGCAGGATTTTGGCCCAGGCTACAATTCTCTAGGGGGAAAATGCAACTCCAAATACATTCTTGCAAACAGTTTTGTGAACAGCAAAGAAGTTAAGACTGACAAAAATCATTTTTAAAATATTCTTGGGGCTCAATGGTAAGCTGCTTGCTGGCATGTGTGTGAAAAAAACAACACAACTTTTCTTAAAATACAAAAGTAAAAAAATAAATAAAATTCGAAGAACTTTATGTTAACTTTATGAAAAAAATAAAAACAAGGAATGGAGGGGACTGACCTAATTCCACAGGTACCCGTGAACTTACATTATCTTACACTTGGGAAAGTAGACTAGGGAGGCAACAGCTAGTTAACCAGGTTGTACAGCTAGTTAATGAAGGAAGCAAAACCTGACTCTCAATTATATTCCTCTCCTTTCCTCCTTTCTTCTATCCTTCACTCTCTTCCTCTAGGAAAAATGAGTTAAGATAAAACCCACAATTTTCTGACCATGTCTCTAATATATATTGTTTTAAAATGTTTTATAAAACATTGGAAGTTTATAACAACTTTTCTCTTAAATACTCTCCTATTTAAAATACTCAGTCATTAAAAAAAAACATGAAAGTGCCTGGGATTTAGGTCAGTGGTGCTGCCACCTTCCTGCCTTGCAAGTACAAGGTCCTGAGTTCGATCCCCGGTACCAAGAAAACACACACACACACACACACACACATACACACACACACACACACACACGAAGTTATTTAGACACAAAGGAAAAAAAGTTAAATAGCAGGAATTTCTATCAATGGTCAAGAACTACATATGGGGCATGGTGCCAAGCACTGCTGCATGGAGGAAGAAGGCACTGTCATGGGTGAGATACAATACGTCTCCCCAGAAAGGCGTGGTTGTTTATGGGCTTTGAGTAGGGATGGATTAGGAAGGCTCTAACTTCATAATTTGATTGTGTTAGGGTGACACCAGAGATAGGAGATAGGACCTGACTGAGGAGAACAGGTCATGGGGCATAACCTTGAGACTCCCTCTGGTCCCCAGCCCCTCTCTCTCTAGTTCTCTCATTCTCTCTGCTGCCTGGCTGCTATGAGATGGGCTGCTTTCCTCTGCCATGTTTCTGCCTCACCTCAGGCCTCAAGCCATGGAGCCAGCAGACCATGGACTGAAGCCTCGGCAGCTGTAAGCCAAGACAAGCCTATCCACCTTTAAGTTGTTTTCTCAGGTATTCTGTCACAGCAACAAGAAGCTGACTAATGCAACCATGCCTCTATAACCAGTAGCTGAGATAGAGGAGCGCCCAAGGGAAGATTAGCAAGCAGGAAGGCAAGTGGCTGGACTTGTGTTTTTGTGGTATGTTGTACAGATTTTCTGTAACTTGGTCAAACCAAGGGCTACAAGCGTGCCAGGTAAAATGTCCCACCACCAAACGCCCCAGTCCCAAGGTCCCTTTCTAACAGTAATAGTGACGCTGAGATGCCCACAGTCTAAGAGGCACCCGAGAATGAACTCCCTTCTTCCCAATCCTACTGAACCAGGGGTGGGGGGCTGAGGGGGCAAGTGGCTTACTGAGTGCCTTGGAAGGCTGGAGGCTTCTTAGCTTTAGGTCCTTTTTTCTTTCCAGATACCTATATGACATAACTTGTCTGTGACGACTGGATATGAAACCTCCTGATGCTCAGAATCAAAGTCTTAGCTTGCCCAACACCATTATTGACCAGCCACATGGAAAGCTGCCCCTAAATACTTACAGTTCGAAGACAACAGCCCAGTCGGGAAGGAAAAGTAAATGGGTAAGACCAGCTCCATGCATTCCAATAAAGATGTCTGTGTTGTGTGTTATCCTGAGCTGATCTAAAAACCCAAGTTCTCTGTAACACATGGAATAATACGAGAGACAAGGAGAAGGAAGGAGCTTTAAGTTGCCTTTGCTCAGGGTTCATGGTCACAATATTTACAGAAGTACATTTCCCAGTTTCAATCAAATTCTATGTCAATACTTTTTTTTTGCCAATTTTATGCATACCCTAGTAAACAATAACTTATTTTTTAATAATATAACATTTTTGCTATGTAACTGCGCTTACCTGTTCAGACTTAAGAATACAGTGGTATCTTGGTTCACAAACTCTTTTGTTTTCAAAATCTGCATGGGGTGACAAACACGATTGTGGCCGTATCTCCCACACAAACACAGATGTGGCCATCTTTTCTAAAATGGTACAACAAACTAAGTTCATGAACTGAGGTACCACTGCTCTTATTTGAAGGAGAAACTTAATAGCTGGGAAACCAGTGATACATGACATCGACAAAGTAGGTGCATGATATTCGATTAAGGGTGTGTGGTACTGAATCAGCCCACTGATTGGATTAGCATGGTTCTGGGTGTGGCTGACTGCATTTACTGAAGACAGAAGACCCACGGTGGGTGTGAGTGGCACCAACCAATTGTCTTGGAGCCTAAATGGAATAAAAAGGGAAGCTCACTGCTGCGGCCTCCTGCCTGCTGTGCCATAAGCTGTTTCTCCTCTGCCATGCTGCCCTGCCTTGTAGTCAGCCAGTCTGGACTGAAACCTCTACAAACCGTGAACTAAAATACAACTTCGCTCATTTAACTCAGGGGTGTTGGATATCTTGTCCCAATGAGAAAGTAACTAAGATAGACGGTGTCTGCCTAACCCTTCTAGATAATCAAGCTCCCATTGGAAAAATGTTTTCTAGCCACCGTTAACTCATTCAAGCAAAAGGCAGCAGGGTTTGCCTGAGTGTGGTTTTTGCTTACTTGTATTTGTAATCAACAATCCGGACTTCAAATGTCGATACTGTTTTCAGTGCATTCACAAGCTAAGAAAAAAGCGACACAGTTAGAATTTCTTTTCCTTTCTTCCATTTACTTTCCTTTATGACTTTATACTTCCTATTTTTGCATATAATACTTTTCAGGTGTCAAATATCCTTTGGGTCTATTGCTCTGAATCTTATTGGAGTTCAAATGCTGGCACCAGCCCTTAGCACAAGACTCTCCACTGCCATGAGATGCTGATTTTCTAAGGTGGCCTGAGACTGCAAAGAACACAGACAGTTCATGGGTCCAAATGCTCGGCACAGCAACACACTAAGTTGCTAGTTTTTCCTTCAAATCTCAACATGCATTTGTTAGACATCTACACTGTTGCAGACGTTGTGCTAGGACTTTTCTTCCTGTCCATTATGTCATTCACACAAACCACTAGCACTTTGTACCTATCCTCTGATTGCTATCTTCTAGCAAATGGAAAGTAACTGCACATAACTGATTTATCATAAGAAGCGCAGTCCCTTGGAAGGACACCCAGTGTAACACCGTTCAACAGTTCTCGCACTGGTATCAGGTGGCCCTGTGGCACAGCAAACTGCAACAGGAACATCGCCGCAGGGCTGGGGCGCAGCTCAGTGGAGAGCACCTTGCTTCCCACGTGTAGGTCGTGGATGCCATCCCCAGCACCACCCCTCAAAAGGCACTGGGGACGCACATACATTGTACTGGCATTTCTAAGGGCTTGGAGTGTAAATAACTTAATCCCCATAAAAAAAAAAAAAACACCAAGTGATACCTGTTTTATAAACGAGACCACAAAGGCTTAAAGCAGTTAAATAACTTTCCCAAGATCTCCTGGCTGGCAAATGCAGAACCAAAATTAAACCTAGGTCCTCTGCTCCTAGAAACTATGTACTTAACCAGTGCGCTCTACTCTGCAACAGGCAGTGACCAAAATGTAATCTCTGCCCCATTTTACACACACACACACACACACAAATCATATGATCACAAAATGGAAGTTTCTCTCTCTAGACAGCTCTTTGGTTCCCATGAATATACTGCTTACATCAAAGAGTTGCAGGAGTGAGATTCGAATTCCAGTTTTCCAGGAGGGAATTAATCAGAGGGCATAAGCCTGGGTCTTTTAATGAGGTTAGGTCCACATACAAGGAAATGAGTGCTGTGAGTCCCACAGCGAACGTGCTCTTCTTCATGCTTTCTAGTCCCACTGTCCAGACTTTGCAGTAGGCTAAGACTGTGCTGTCCTTTATTCAGAGCATCTGGGTCTTTCTCCAAGTCTTACAGCCTGTGCTACACCTCTCTCCTGGACTTCTCTAATTCTCTTTGGTGGCTCCAGGATGGTCCCCAGGCCATTAGATTCAGGCTCCTCTAAGATGCATTTGCTGTTGCCCAGCAGAACACTTTGGAGAAGAAAGCCATCTCAGAGCCAGGTTACCCTTATCATACACCCACTGCCCTACTCACTAGCTGGATGACCTTGTATACACTTCTAAGCTTCAGGGTCCTTGTCTATAACAGAGGGTAATAATAAAATACTGACCTCGGGGGTATATTGGGAGGGTTGGGGACACCATGCAGAGGGAAAACATACTTCGCATCTACTCTTTCCATCTTCCTACACCAGAGTATACTCTTGACCTGTTGGTATTGAGGCTTCCCTTCTCTCTACCCCAAGACTGCATTACTGGATGTGCCGTGAGCTCTCCATACCCATGAGTTCCACCTCCACAGATCGGACTAACATCAGATCAAAGACATTTTTAATTGCATCTGAACTTTTAGTTGTACTGAATGAACGGGTACAGACTTTTTCTCGTCATTATTGCTTAAACGATACCTAACAGCATTTACCTAGCAGCATTCACATGGTAGCAGGTATTACAAGCAATCTAGAGATCACTTAAAGTACCCAGGAAGACGTGCATGTAGGTCTTACACAAACAGGTCCTCGTTTCATACAGGGAAACTGAGCATCTGTGGAATTTGGTATCTGTGAGGCAGGCCCTGAAACCAACCCCCCATGGGCTGCCAGGGACACCTGTATTTTTAATTCTGCACACACACACACACACACACACACACACACTGCTCATTTCTTCCACGCTCATGGCTTACAATTGTTCATTATGCCATATGCTTATGTCCGCGTGGCTCTTGGAAAGAGATGCTCACTACCTAACTTGGATCAGAAGGTATTCCAAGCAATCCACGTAAAATATCTTACCCATCAAAACCCACCCCGTTGCCCTCTTACTCAGTCTGCTCCATTACAGATCTACTTAAGTGCTCAAGCTAAAAGCCTGGGCACCACACCTAATTCTTGGTACCATTCCCAGCCCCAACTAATGCCCTGCTGCACATTGCAAAGGTATCACAGCTCATCTCCTCAAACTGTATCTTGAACCCATTTATCACCTCTACCGTCATCATCTTTATCCAGACTCTTTCTCCTGGGCCGCAGTAACAGCTCCTGATCAATCCCCCTGTTCCTACTTTTGCGGCAAGAGCAATTTAAAAGTAAGTAAGAAGTCAATTCAGGTCTCTCCCTATGTATCTGTTTTCTGTTTGCTTCTGTAACAAATTTCTACAAACTCGGCAACTTAAACCAACATGACTTCTCCTCCTGTAGCTCTGCTGGATGGAAGTTCAACTTGGGTCTCACCAGGCTAATGTAAGCTGTCGGCAGGGGTGCGTTCCTCCTAGGTTATGTAAAGAAGCTGTAAGGGAGAATCAATCTATTTTCCTGCTTTTCCCAGCTTGTAGGAATGGCCTACATACTGGGGCTTGGGGCCCCTTCCTCCACCTGCAAACACAGCAGGCTGCATCTGCTTCCCTGTTCATGCCTCCTTCTCTCGCTCTCCTTTTTTTTTTTTTTTTTTTTTTTTTTAATGTACTATGAATTGAACCCAGGGCCTTTACACTGACCTACATCACCAGCCCTTTTCTCAAATTTTTTTGAGACAGGGTCTTGCTAAGTTGCCTAGGTAGGACTAGAACCTGCAGTCCTCCTAAGATTACAGCGCTGGGTTACTGACATGCAGCTCCATGCCCAGTTCCTCTTCTACTTTGAAGGAAATGATGAAATATGACCTGATCTGTGAGACGAAGCCACTGAAAAGAGTTTTCCAGGCCGAGGCCAAGGTTCCCTGGTAGATTTGTGGCCTGTCTGTGGTTACACTGGGCCTGCCTGGATAATTCCAAACTATTTCCTATTTAAGATCAGCTGATTAGCAACCGTAATTCCAACTACAACCATAATTTGCCTTTGCCATGTAACCCACCCTACTCACAGGTCCCAGGGATTAGGACGTGGGCATCTCTCAAAGGGCAGAGAGCACACCATTCTGTCCACTAACACCCTGCTTAAAACCTCTGGGTCATGGCAGGCGTGGTGGCACAGGCCTGTAATCCCAGCACTTGGGAGGCTAAGTCAGGAAGATTGCTGTGAGTTCAAGATCAGCCCGGGCTACACAGTGAGTTCCAGGTCAGTCTCAACTACATAGTGAGACCCTGTCTCAAAAAACCAAAAAAAAAAAAAAATCCTTCCCTGCAGGAGGTCTCTCCAGCTGCCTGCCCGGGCCTACCCAGCAGGTGCGCAACCTCCCCGACTGCGCGCCACCAGATCGAGTAAGGAAGGTATTTGCGCAGGCACCCTTGAAACACCCCTATGACCTGCTCCCCCCACCCCCCACCCCCCTTCTCAAACCTCCTGACTGGGCCAGTCCTTGGACCCACTCTGCAGAGGCATAGGTGCTCATGAAGGGTAGTTTTCTGAGCTCCCAACTTTGAACATCTTTAAAGAAAGGGCAGGGGAAACCTGTAAGAGAACTGAGTGGAGTTCAACCCTGTGGGTTGGGAAACTCAAGTTAGGCCTTGTGGACTGAGGTCAGTCTCAGTCGTGGGGACCTGCCATTGGCTAGCCAAGATTAGGGGATTCGGTTCTGCACATGGCTGTACATGTGGTATAATATGACAACAGAGACATAGTCTGAAAGAGGCCCTTCAAATTCTTCTTTTTTTCTTTTCCTCATTCCACCCTAAAATTTCTTTCTTTTTTCTGTCCTCTCTCTCCAAGTCAGTCTCTTGCTCCACCATATTATCCCTCATCTCCCTTTTTATTCCTGCTCCTGCTCTAACTCAGACTTCTTCTTTTACTACTTTTCTTTTTCCTTTTTTTTTTGGTTTGTTTGTTTGCTTTTGTTTTTCAGGGGGTTTTTGTTTTTGTTTTTGTTTTCTTTATGTTCTTTTCTCCAGTCATTTTATCTCACTCATGGCTCTGTAGCTTCAAGGGAAGGCAAGTGCCTGTTACTGTTAAGGGGATATATTCTTGTCCTTATTCCCGCACTCTGTCTATCGCCTCTGAAGTTGATAGCTTCGTAAAGATAGTAAGGTCACTCTACATCCTCTGGTTTCACTTCAAACTCGCTCCAGTTCTTTCACTTTTCTACTCCTCTCATCCTAACTCAGTCTAACCCCCCATCCTAAATGGTAAAGATGCTATACTGAAAAGAGTATTCACTGCAAACATATTTTGGGCTGCTTCTTGATATTAATTTAATTCACATGGTTTAAAGGTGATAGATTAATGACTACCACAAGTGGTCAGTTTGCAAGCTATGCTTGATCCTATTGGGCTGCTGAATGTATCAATTGGGATAAAGGATTGTGATTGATTTAATGAGTTGTTTTCTCTGATATTATGAAAATGAGGATGTCTTTGAGTCATTAGAAACTCAAAAGCTAAAAAGCAACTATATCAGGAAGATTTAATACCCAGAAATTAAACCAAGGACAACCCAACAACAGAAATAAAAATGAGAAAACACTTAAGCAAGACACAAAGACTGATTTCCAGTTCACCAATGGCAAACAATAGGACAAATGAGGATGAAAAGTCTGATAATGAACCAGCAGGACACCCTGGACCCATAGCACAGGAGGTAACAAAACAGATCAGTCAGGCTCTAGAAAAATTCAAATCAGAAATAATTTCCCAGTTAACCAGAGAGATGATAAGCAAAAT